CAGCTCCTGTGATCTTTGAGGAGCAGCTGGAATGCAAGGGCATTGATGTCCTGCTCAATTCCCAAACCCAACACACACTGATTGCCTGGGCTGCAAAAAGGCACAGGCACTGCTAAGCTCAAAGTGATTTGTAAGGCCATGCTGGCTGGCTTGGAACCACAAGAGCTCCTTCTGCACCAAGGTCTCTGCACAGAATGATGTGTTCTCATGCAAAAATACTGCATTCTCCAGAAGTGACACCTGGGAAATTAAAATTCTAGCAGACCCAGTCCCAGTGCTGTAAAAGGGCAGGGAATAATGAGGAAAAGCAACTTAGTTGTGAGAAAAAGAAAATGATTAAGCCCCTTCCTCCAAGCAAACAAAAAAAAAAAAAAAAAAAAAGGGGAAAAAGTCAGTTTTAAAAGTGGCTCAAATATTTGGATGCACTGGGAGATGCTGAAGGTCCCTCAAGAGCCTCCCATTGTCCAGGCTAAAGCTCCCTCAGCACCTCCTCACTGGCCTTGTGCTGCACCCCCTTGCCCAGCTCCCCAGTCCTTCTGTGCACACGCTGCAGCCCCTCAAGGACTTTCTGCTGCCCAGGGGCCCACAAGTGCACCCAGCACTGCAGCGGTGGCCGCAGCGCTGCCCAGCACAGGGCCACGCTCGCTGCCCTGCTCCTGCTGCCCCACTGCTGCTGACACAGGCCACCAGGCCCTTGGCCTTCTTGGCCACCTGGCCACACGCTGCCTCATCCTCAGCTGATCAAGGCCGCCAGCACCCCTGGCTCCTTTTGGCCCACGCAGCTCTCTAGGCACAAAATTGCCTGTTTAACTTCAAATACAGCCTCTACCATTTTAAGTTGTCCTTCTTGTTCTACAACCACATCTTCTAAGGAGATGTCATTAAATTTATAGGAATAGAATTCTCAGTCCCTCTGACTAAATATAAATGGGCTAATTCTACTCTCTAGGAAGTTGCTCTTAGTTCAGTGTTCCCCTCTGGCTCCTGTCAGCAAGCCACATTGTCTCTGCAAATCTGAGTTTGTATTTCTTCAGGGCTCTGAGATGGAAATTAGGAACTATCCACTTACGCCTTTGTTACCTTTGTTGAAGGCATGAAAATGCATTTTCTTTCAGCCTCTCTAGCTGGCCCTCTGCACTCTACTGCCATTGGCCAAGCTGACAGCTGGCTCTACAATTCTTAAACACCAGGAACATTAAAATCTCCCCTTCTCACTCACCTCAGGATCAGCACTGCTGAAGACACGGTGACCTGTAGTGGGCAGGGGGAATGAACCACATGCTGTGAGAAAACTGCCTGGGCTGCTGAATCCCACAGAACAAGTCAACCCAAACAGAGATGATTTCCTGTTTCACAACATCCCTCCAGGAGACATGTTTCCTTCACACAGCCAGCAAGGGATCAGGACAGTATTGTTGCTTGTGCCTACACTTTGGCCTGTTTTGCCAGTAAATGATTAAAAACATGCCCAAGAAAATGCAGATTCTTCTTTAACACTCAATGCTCCTGTTCTATCAAACACATAAAACAGCTTCTAAAATCCTCTCCCTCAGGTACTTTCTTAAAAAAAAATCAGTTGCATGTCTCAATTCTATTAACTTGCTGGAAACAGTTGCCCAGAAAAGCTTCCCCAAAATCCGCCTGAGCTGAGGCAGTTGCATTGTGAAATAGCACAGCAGCAGCTCCATGCTGGGGTGGTTTCCCTCGCGGGGGAACGTCCTGTGTGGGTGCGGGCAGGTCACTCCTTCGTGGCTCCCGTAGGAGCGGCTCCACCTCTTCTACTGCACGCACAGTCCCGGCTGTATACTGAACACACGACCAGGGAGAAGGAGCACTCGAGGCACTGGCGCAGATCCAACTGGGTTTATTAGCGGATGGTCCGAGGCTTTAAGGAGGGAAGGAAAGCACGGGTGCAACCGCAGTTGAAGGGAGGCGGTGTCGGGGTGAGCTCGAGCCCTGAACCGGGGTGGGACCGGGCGTTATAAAGGGGAGAGGGTAGGCAGGGTTGGGGTACAAATCAACCAGTGGGGAAAGGGCTCAGAGGAGGGGACATGGTGGGGTGATCGGGGGTGCACCTATAGGAATGTGGGGAGAGGGTGGTCTTGTGGCGAGGTCTAATGGCAGAGTGGGGAACAGGGAATATTCCAAAAGGGAAGGGGTGGGCTACAGATGACTGATGTTAGAATCATCCTAGGGCGCTCCTGCTCCATCTTCCCTGTCCCCCCTTCCCACAGCTCCCACAGGGTTCTGGAGCAGACATTTACTGCTTTGGAGTTTGCACTCCTTGCAAAGTGAGTTACTGTTTTAGCACTCAGTAAAAGATCAAGTTAGACAGTCAAATCCCTTCAGGAGAAAAATATAGAAAGAAAGAAGTTTTCCCTGTATTCTAGGAACAACTGCAGAGTTTTTAGAAGATCTTCCAAGAAGGTCTCCCAGACTACATTTTCAAACTGTCTTGCTTGTTCCAGCAAACTGAGGAAATGACAGACTCTGCTGCCACAGACTCTCCCGTGGAGGGAACAGAAGCCCTGCAGGTTGCCTTGCAAATGCTGCCCCTGTGGCTACAGACACCCCCTTTTTAGCTGAACACCTTGACAGAAGCTTTACCAAACCATTGGCCTCTTAATGTTCTTTCTGTTTCAAAATCAGAAACTCAGTCACTAAGAAAGAGCAGGAAGAAATACAAAAGCCAGGTTAGGTTACACCCAGGGAAAAACTCTACTTCTGTGCAAGGTGAGTCACAAAATAAGCAGAATAAGTAACACCATATACAGTGAATAGTGCTGGAGCAATTCTCTCAATCATTGTAGAACTGCTCTGCAAGTTTGCAGGCTGTGCTTCAGAATCAGAAAAAGCAAGGCTCCTGTCAGTGTGCAATAGCCCACTGACAAATGCCTCAAGCAGCCAGATGCTCCTGCTCTGAGCAAGCGCTAGGGCTGCTCTGACACTCAGGCCTTCTGTGCACCAAGGCACCCTTCTGATGTCACTACGACGATGTGAAAACCATGCCCTGACATGACAAAGCAAACACTCTGTGTTGGTCTGTGAATTTATGCCAAGCAATAACCAACCTTCCCTACAGCAAACACAAAAGAGCCTGGGAAGTTCTCCTCTGTCACAAAGCAGCACAAATTCCCCTCATGGGCCAAACCCTGTTGTTCCAGGGATCCAAGAGGAACTCCAAGAGTGCCCCAAGCACCTACAGCCTGTACCCCAACTGAGCACTCAGATGGGACACAAGCAAAGGAAACCAGACCAAGAAAGTGGCCCACAGCATTGCACATCTGAGAAAAGACTCTTCACTTTTACCTTTTTAAAGGTTTATTAAACCCTAACAAAGGATTGAATAAGGAAAAATTGCAGTAATTGGGGGAATACAGGGTTCAGCACTCCTGTTAAAGCTAAAGGAATTCACAAAACTAAGCCCTGTTTGTTAAACTTAACGCCTCTCCTTCCTATTCTGGGAATCAAACACAAGCGTTTCATCAATACACCCTGCAAGTGCTCCTGCTGAGTGAAGCCACATTGCTGTGTCAATAAAGCAGCCGGGACTCAGTTTCTTCATGCAGGGAAAGCCAATTCTTTATTCACATAACTCATTTTTATATTGTTTTCACAGACCTCATGTTCAACTCCAACTGGCTGGTAGTTTCCTTGCCACACAATTGATTGCTTAGAAGGTGTTTTGGTGTGTACATGCTAAGACTCTCTCTTTTTAAGACACACTCTTACTCACGTGATTACATTTTTCTTTCGTGGACGCTCATGGGACAGATTTCTTCTTTCTTCCAGATGCAAACAGTTTTCTTAGCACAATAGCTTGTTGTGCTAACTGCACTCATGACTATTCCCATGGGAAGTTAGCTGGCTGCACGTAGAAGACCTAACAGGCCAGCTGGGAATTTACCATAGCAAGGCCTGATTTTATAAGGACTTTCTTTTCTAATAACCCTACCTGTGTGCAACACATGATGACTTTCTTTCAGAAATTAATGAAGAAAACACAAATTGCCTACAGATTTCTATTCTGCTCTCTTCCAAATCAGTTCACTCCTCAAGCACAAGCCTCAGGCACATCCCCGATTCCCTCTGTCCCGGCAGGTCAGGCTGCTTTTGGAATTGTGGGAATTGAAATGGTAGATCAAGGACCTCCTTACTGCAAGCCCTCTGCCTGGGCTCTGCTGGGGCTCCAGCCCGGGCAAGGCCGGGCCTGCTCTCACCTCACAGGCGCTCACAGCTCTGCACCTCAGGAGACCTTGCTGAGCACCCTCTCTGATCTTTCTGCTTTCTCACTTGAGCAAGGCTCTCCTCCAGACAAAGAGATTTCATTTAGGGATCCAAATCCAAGTGGCAGAAGCCCAAATGCTCCCAAGCCACAGCTCAATGCCTGCATCTGCACAGGATGTCTTTGCTGCCCCACTCCTTTGGTTTTTCCTGCAAATGCCATTGTCCTTTATGCCTTAACTAGAAATACCACAGCTGTGCCAAAACCAGCCAGTGGGCTGTGGTGGTGTTCACAGGACCAGGGAAGAGATGAGAATCTGACTCCATGTTTCTGAAGGCTGATTTATTATTTTATGATATATATTATATTAAAACTATACTAAAAGAGTAGAAGAATGGATTTCATCAGAAGGCTTGCAAGCAAAGGAAAAAGAATGGAATGATAAGGGGTCAGAAGGAGGGGAATCTTCCAAATGCGTTGATGTTTCAGAAACTTTATTTAATTACCATCCTAATCCATAATCCTATTCTACAAAACTCTTCAACAATCCCATTCTAGAATCCTACTCTACAATCCTACTCTACAAAACTCTTCAACAATCCTACTCTACAATCCTACTCTACAATCCTACTCTACAAAACTCTTCAACAATCCTACTCTACAATCCTATTCTACAAAACTCTTCAACAATCCTACTCTACAATCCTACTCTACAATCCTACTCAAACTTGGCTATGAAGATAACATCTTGACACGATTGATAGGTTCTCGTCTCCTACTTCCTCTTCTTGACTGAGTTGATGAGTAGTGCCAGGCTGGACGCTGGCTTGGCTGAACGTACAAATGGATGCTGTCCACAGGAAAAAAAAACAACAAAACAACAAAGAACAGTGAACCATGACTTTCCAAGCTCAGTGCTTCACAGCCTCAATCATGATTCCTCTAGTTCCTAGAAAGACCCAGAAAGGAGAAGAATGGGACCATCTCCTCCCCAATTGTCATGTGCAGGAACTTGCCATCATAGGCAAAGGTGGCCCAGAATCCCACTCATTGGTTTATTGTGATATCTTCATTCTTGCTGGGATTTTTGCCCTGCCAGTGCTCTAGAAATGGTGCTTCCTGTCCCTGGTGTTTCTTCCTTGCAGGAAACTCCAATGACTCACATAGTGCCTTTGCAAGACAGGCACTGTGCTGATTCCCACAGGGAGACAGAGCAGTGTCTGCCTTTCCATGCCCTGCCCCTCGTGTGCTGGATGGCACCTTCCTTCCCAGCAGGGCCAGCCCAGTGGCACTGGGCCCTGCAGTTCCCTCTCTGCCACACAACCTGGCAGTAACCCTGGCACAGTTCCCGTCTGCTTGGGCGTGCCAGGCAGCAGATGGGGCTGGGACAAGTCCCTCCCAGCAGTCCCTGTTTGTGTGCCAGAAACCTCTAAGTGTGGGCTGGGGGGCACAAAGCAGGGCCCCTCAGAGGCTCCCAGTGAGCCCCCCACAGCCCCTCCAGCCCACAGGCAAATCTCTGACTGCTCAGCTGGGACTGGCTTCCTTGGGTTCCACCACCACCATTTCATGTCTCTGTAGCCTGCATTGCTCTACTTCAATTCTTTTGCCATTAGATAAAACTGAACACCCCACCAAATTACAAAGGAGGGTGACAGAAATGGTCAGAGGACAGAGCAGCTCTCCTCTCAGGAAATGCGGAGGGAGGTGGAGTTACTCAGTTTTGTGAAGGACAGGCCCCAGGGAGACTTTGTTGCCACTTTCCAAGACTTCAGAGTGGTTTTGAAGAAAGTGGGGGACATCTTTTTTAACAGGGCCAGTTACAATAGGATGTGGGTGAATATTTTTAAACACAAAGGAGATCTAATCAGAGTAGGTCTAAGGAAGAACTTGTTTACTCGGAGCATGGTGCAACCCTGGCACAGCTTGCCCCAAGAGCTTGTAGGTGCCCCATCCCTGTAACCCTTCCGGCTCCAGTGGGAAAAGATTCTGAGCAACCTGATCTCTTTAAAGATGTCCCTGCTCATTGCAGGACACTTGCACCACAGGATATTTACAGGGCCCTGCCAATCCAGCCCAGTCTAGGATTCCTCACCAATTTCATTTGAAGAGCTCCAAGAGTGGAGGTGAGGAGGAAAGGGTGGAGTGGAGGAGGAGCCCATCCCTCAGAGCCTGTTTCACCTGCAGCCCCTTCACATTTTACCTGCAGGAGCTCCTTGGCCGACCAGCGCTGCTCCTCGTCTCTCTGCAGGCAGCAGCCCAGGAAGTGACGCAGGCAAGGCGAGAATCGGTTGGGCTGCCGCAGCCGTGGGGTCCTTTTTATGGCTATCATGAGTTTAGCCTGGGGAAAAAGGAAACACCAGGTTCCACCAGGTCCTTTCACATCTCTAAGTGCTCTCCCACATGCCTTTGTTTAACCTCTGTTCTTCAGTGGTAGTTTCTGCCCTGGCAGAGACCTAGAGATGATTTTCCTTTTCCAACCAAAAACCCAAACCCCAATGCAGCCACAGCTTTTCCACCATCCCGCAGATCTTGCCTTGGCAGCTGATTTCATTGGCTGACCTAGTTAGTGGGAGCTACATCAGCAAAAGCACGTTTGCTTCTCTGAGGATTCACACCAGCTTGAGAGGCTTTTTGGAAGAGGGTCTTTGCTATACTAACCAATTCCAAGGATTAGTACATGAAAGGCATCTCTGCAGTGCTTGTTGGTCCCTTGAGCATAGGTGCCTGTGGCGGTTCCAGTTCAAAACTGGGCAGAAACACTAATTTTGTCTAGTGGTTTTGGTTCCCCAATTTAAGATTTCCCCAGTTCTTAGTTTTTGCTGGCTAATGTATTCAAGACTGTGGTGGGTTTGGTGTTGGTCAATTATTAATATGCTTACTTCCTGTCGTGAGCTAGGAAGATAGGATTAGGAGAAAGTAAAACAGGCTTAAAACTTTCAAAGAGTATAAAGAAAATGTTACGCATAGCAACTAAAAGAAAGAGTAATAAGGATCAGAATAAAGCCTTCAGAACATTTCTCCTCTTCCCAGAACCTTTTCTTTCTCACTGATAATGTAAAGAAACAAAACCTAAACTTTCCAGTCCGTTGACTACTTTGAAAACAGTCTTTCTTCAGTTTACTTAGGGAGAGAAGTCCCTCTTGTTACCTCTTGTTAATCTTATGGGGACTTCTCTACAAGAGGAAAAAACAGTTTTCTTGTGGTTCTTAATTTCTTCATCAATAACAGCTGCCTGGGGAACCCTGTTATCGTAAAGTTTCTCCCATTTTCTAAAAGCTTTCCCCCAACTTGTTTATGGGCCATGTTGATCTATGGGGTATTGTTTTAAAGATAAGTTGTTCAAAAGTAAAAGTTTTCATTATCTATTTTTAAAATCATCTTTATCCCTGGGAACAGAAAATCTCCTCCTGGCAGTACAGGACTATTCTTCTCTCTTTCTCTTGTTTCATCTTCTCATACGATTATAGTTACTTTAATAGCTGTTTACTTTAATGTGGAGGCCTTTGTTCACTATCAATTTGAACTCTTCATCTCCCCATAGTTTCATGTGTTATAAGAAAAAAACCTTTTTCTTCATTGTTTCTAAGAGAATTTTAGCTCTAAAATTAAAATATTTCCTCATCCCTCCCATCTAGGACTTAACTTCTCGCTCACTGATGATAATGTTTTCATATTTATTCCTTCACATACTTATATCTTGTTCTTTTCTCTCATTCGAGGGAGGATCGAAGCACTAAAAGGATTCTAATCAACCAGCCCAGGACTCAACAGTGACACCCAGGATAATAGAGAGGAAGTTCCTCCTTCCTTCTGCCCGATGGTTGTGAGTAACTTCTGCGGAGGTCAAATGCCAGCCTGGAGCCGGGGCTACTCCCGAGGCCGGTGAGCTCAGCTGGGCCCCGGGCTGGGCGCAGTGTAACAAGTAACCAAATATTACCAAGGCCGGCTCCATCTGGCTGCGCAGCACCCCCCTCTCCCTGCCCAGAAACCGATGTTAGGGGGCCGGCAGGCAGCCTGGGAGAAGCGGGGCCTAACCCCGCGACAAGACCCACCGGCCTGGCCCCGTAGCAGGGGCCACCTGGCCGTGTCACCTCCCTCCCAGCCGGAAGGGAAAGAAAAAGTTTCTTTCATCTTTTAACGTCTGTTTTTCACAGAGGTGTGTCCAGCTTTCCAGTGGTTAAAAGCTTTATATCACTTCCCTAAATGTCCCTCATGTAAAACCGTAACAATGCCATAGAACAAAACTCATTACGCTTTTTGTGCTGTTCTTGAAAACAATGGCAATTGGAAGAAAAGAAAGGAAATCCATCAGTTAATCCCCAGGGAAGGAAACAAACATTTACAATCTCATCTTCAACACAGACACATTAAGATGCCTGCACAAATGTACTGGGATGAAAATGCCTGCTTGGCCACACAGGAGCCACCTGCAGCTCTGTCTCTCAGCAGTCTGAAAATTTCAGCTTCCCATTTTTCAGCAAAAGAAAATTGTCATGGTCAGAAGAAGGAGAGGTGGCATCCCTGTGGTCACCCTCTGCTCATTTGGCTACTCAAGTCAATGCATGAATGGTAGGCCCCTCCCCAAAAGTGCCAGGTTTTGGCAGGCTCTCCACATCACCAGGCTCTGGCTTGGTGATGTGGACAACGTGGCTTGGGCTATGAAAGAAACACGGCCACTAAATGTTTCAGCAGCACTGCACAAGAAGCAGAAGAGCCTCTGTGGCCTTTACACCCTCATGCCCAGGTTTCAGGAATGTTTCCCAATGAGAAGAAACTGCACGGGGGATGCAGTTCCTCTCTAGAATCCACAGTTTTAGAAACTTTGTTGGATTTGGGTTTCTTTCCTTCATTTTTGGAAAGGTAACACCACTTCTTAGATACTTGTTTCCTGTTACTGGGGCCATCTCCACAGAGAAAAGAACTGGAACCACTTATAACCCAAAGGAAAGTGTTGCCTGAGAATGGAGTTTGTTTGCATGTGGTAAGGCTTGAGTTCCCCCACTGATGCAACCAAAACTAGAGCAGATGCTGATGTGTTGCAGGGACATTTTGAGGAGGGGACCTTGGTGGAAGTAGTTCCAGAAGATGGCAATGGGATTTTGTCCAATGGCATGCAGGACATGGGACAGGTGAGAAAGACAGTGGGATCAGTGAGTATTTGCTCCTTACCGTGCCAGAACTTTCGCTCCAGTAAGGAGGTTCTTGTTCTACCATTTCAATCCCCACAATTCCAAAAGACCATACATCCACTTTGGGGCCATATGTTTGATGCATCACCACTTCAGGCGCCATCCACCAAGTAGTCCCGACTACCGAGCACCGTCTGCTCTGCTCAGGGGTGAGCTGAGCAGAGAGGCCAAAATCAGCTGAGGAGAAAGCAAAATACTGGTTTTATTTGGATTCTGTGCAATTAGGAAAGCAAGCAAAAGAATTCCCCAGTAGAAGTTGGAAAACATGCTGTTGAATCTCTGGCATTGGCAACTTAAAAAATCCCCCCATTTTTTACACTGCCTCCAGCAGTGGCTTTTGTTCTTTGGAAGCTTTCGACTTGTAACTCCCTCCCTCTGGAAGGGACACACACAGAACAAGGCCACTCTTGACTGCTTGTTCCTTGTCCTACCTCTGTGCACGTTGCAACTGTGCCCTCAGCTCACAGCGGGTGTCCCTGCGCTGCCACCAGCACCATTTTTGGGGAGCTGGCTGTCACTCCAAGCAGCCCCACAGCCACATCCCTGGAATGCTGCACCTGACCAAGAATATACTGACCCAGCTTGACAGAACCGTCGGTTCTGAGAAGGATGTTTCTGCTCTTCACATCTCGATGGATCACATCGTTTGAATGAAGAAAATAAAGTCCTTGCAGGCACTGAGAAAGAAAACAGAAACAGGAGGGCAAAAATGAGTGATGGGATTTCATCACACAAGAAAGGAAACAAAGAATCTAAAAGATTCCCTCTCCAGGGGAATGGGGAGTAATGGCAGAACACAGTGCCACTGAGAGGAAGAGCTTGCTGCTCCAACACTTGCAGAGCAGGTCCTTTCTGAGGAAAGGCATGTCAGCTTTTGAAAGAGCAACAGCACCTGCTGTTGTAGGCTGTCCCCTGCAAACCAGCCAGAATGACTGCTGCTGCAGTGCATGTGCTCAGAAGCAAAGAGCATTTGGGCTGCACTCCTGTCCTTTTTAGCTGAGGAGTGAGAGAAACGAGTCTCTCTTTTCTCTTTGCTGCTTGTTTCAAATCCTGCCACCAGCACCTTTGCTTTCACAGGCAAGGAATGCAGTGAAGACAGGCAAAAGTTTAGCGAGGCAAGATGGAGAACAGCAAATACAAGAGACAGAGTGAGAGTACAACAGCAGGAGATAAGAGTACTGGCACTGAGTACAGTGAGTGCAGGGGCACTGGCAGGCCTTTCACTTGAGGTGCTTTTACTTGCCCATAGCATACCAGCCACACAGAAACAAAGCTTGGAACAGGAAATCACTCCTGATCTGAACCCCCGTTCCCCAGACAATCCTGCCCAAGCCCTCAGAAGCACATCTCTGACCTCCCGACTGATGGCTGCAATGTGGCCTTCAAAGATGTTAGACTCATTGATGACATCTCTCAGAGTGCCTCCGTCCATGTACTCCATAACCAGCCAGAGTTCCTCGCCCAGAAGGTAGCTGAAAGAAGGAAACAAGGGCATGGAGATAAACATGCATGGCTACCTTGATTTTTTACTTCCAGGTTTCTTGTTTTAGGTCCCTTTGTGACAAGGGCAGAATAAAAGGAAGAGAGATCCCCTCTTGGCTGTGCATTGTGCATTTGCAATCTGCGCAGTCTCAAGGAGAAAGGCATGGCTGTGAAAAAGAAGATGTCTTAGATGGCCAGCAAGTGAAAAATGCAGTTTAGTAACAGCCCAGAAAAACAACCTGTCAGGCATGGTGTTTCTGGAAATAAGCACCTCGTCTTCCTGGCATGTACAGCAATGGCAAAGGGGCAACAATCCAAGGGAAATCATCTTTAGGATGGTTCATCAGCACTTAAGAAACTTGAAAAAATCCATCCCAAAAAAGGTGAAGGCAATGAACTTAGAGGGTATTGACTTAGGAAGATACATGTGATCCAGTTTGTGAATAATTTTGGAATAATTTTCAAATTAGGTGTGCCAGAGAAGACTCATGCAGACAAGATGCAATCCCTTCTCGTCCATTGGAGATGAGTAGAGAAATATGAATAAATAATAATTTACAGCACTACTTTCGGCCAGTGACCAAGCAGGTTTTGAACCTCTCACGTTTGCTGTATATAAATGCGCATTCATGGGATAAAAGCATGACCACTCACCTGTCTAAATAATTCACAACATTGGGACTCCTGTAGCACTTCATGACCTTGATTTCATTGACAGTTACTTGCTTCCTCTTCAGTCCTTGGAGATTTATTTTCTTTATGGCCACCTAAAATGACATTGAAAATCAGTAACTCGAGAAGTTGGTGGCACGAGACCACAACGCACATGGAGCGAGTGATTTTGCAATGACACAACTGAGCTGTGCCAAACTGCCTTGTGATGAGGCACTGCAGTAATGAGGAACTGACATTCCAACAGCCCATTTCTCTGCTCCCTTGGGGGCCAGTTACAGGACACATGGGGCCACTGACATTTTGCCTTGACCACTTGGTAACAGTGGTGTCTCAGCTATCACCGGCACACCTCTGATCACAATCTCTGCTGCTTTGGATGGGATTCAGAAGAAGTAATCCATGCCTTAATACTCTGTGGATACATCTTGGCCTATGGGCAGGGCTTCTAGGGACACCTTGCAGATCTCTCCCTATGTGCAGTTCCCAAGTGCAGCACTGCAGGTGGCTAAGGAACTACCAGGAACTTTCAGATGTATTTGCTGGCAGCCAGAAATGAGAATTCAGGACTCTGAAGCTGTAGCCCCAAAGAGCAGTGAGGTGCTCGAAGGCACCACCTTTGTTTTAGCAATGGAGAGCGAGCGAGCGCGTCCTTCTCTGAAAGGAACCGCTGCCCTCTGTGCCTTCCTTCCGGCAGCTGAGGAGGACAAAGTCCCAGATGTATTTTGCAGGCTGGCACCAGTCTGTGCTTCTTGTGCCTTTTCAGCACAGCTCTGCCCAAAGCTCCAGCCACAGCTCACACCAGAGGGGAAAGCCCCTCAAGAGCAGCAGAGTTTGCAGGGCCTGTTGACATCTACCTCTCTCCCTGTGGCATTGTTGAGTGCTCTGCAAACATCTCCAAAACTCCTAGAAACAAAACACAAGCAGAGAAAGGAGAAGCCATTTAGATCTTGCAGTGAAAGCCAGCCCACACAGGAGATCTGTGCTGTAAATGTCTAAAACCTGCAGGATGCAGGAGGGCTCTGCCAGAAGGCAGATGATGCATTTTCCTCCCAAGTGCATGGGCACTGGGCCTGTCCCTGAAGTGTTGGGCTTTACTGTCTCAGCTCCTAAAGACAGCTTCTTCTTTCGTCTTGGGTTTCAGTTTCTAAACTGTGCAGTTTCTATCCTGACCACAGAGTATTTCCTTCAGCAAACTCTTGGAAAGAAATGTTCCTGAGAACTGTTAGTTCACAGCTTTGATAGGGGGTAGGTTGCTCTTTCAGGCAAGCAAGATTACTTTTTCATTAGTGGGCCAGTATGATTTAGAGACATCCAAAAACGATAAATTGACACAGAACTGTTCCATACTTGTGTGACAAGGAGACCTTCAAGGTCCTGTTCCTTGATGCAGGCAAGACCTTGGCAGCATGGAGATGTCGCTGACAATGCCTTCTGAGCCCACTCACAAATTCTGAGCAGCACTGAGAGATGGGACAATCTATGCCCAGTGTGTGAACATCTTTGCAGCTGGCCTGACTTCACGCTGGATGGACATCCCGCCAGAAAAACACCTGGCCCATGGTTGTGCAGGAGTAACTGCGGTTGGACTCACCCGCTGCCAATATATTCCAGCTCAGTGTATTTCATTACAGGATTTTCAATGGGGTTCGCCATTCTCCCTGAGGGAAACAAAATGCAGCATGCTGACTTGAAAGCACAGATCCCAGCTTCCAGGAGGTACAAAAGGCAGTCCCACTGCCTGGGGCTCTGAGCCCTTTGGAGTTTGCTGGGTAACAACAACAATCACAACAGCAACAGGACAGGCAGCCCTGCAGTACAAATGGCTGGCACAGAGACTGATTTTGTACAGTCCTTTGAAGAGTTCTCTTGACAGGGAAGAAAGCACAGGGAGATGCATTTCCAGGAGAGGAGGACATCTTCTCCACCTTTCAGCAATTTGCCAAAAGAATGCCTTCCCATTTGTAAACCAGAGCAGCTCATGCTATAACTGATCCCAACGGGCCTTTCAGCATCAGGACCCTCACCTCTTTATGAGCAGGCTGAGCTCAAAGATGCCCCTCTCCCAGCTAAGGATGGCTCCAGCCTCTGCAGTCCCTCCAGCCCTCAGGGACAGGGCAGCTAGCACAACAAGGCTGGCAAAGCCCAAGCATGAGCACTGACAGGCACTGATGGGAAGAAGCCAGAGTGAGCCTGAGCCCCTTACAAGCTGTTGCCCCCATTCAGGACACAAGAGGATGGGCTTTGAGATCAGCCCCACCGAGGCGTGGATCAGTGCCCTTTTTGTCCCAACAGGTGATGGTAGACACAGAATCCACTGGGCTCTGGTCTCAGCCTCACCAGGTCTTATCTGAGAGCACAGCACTGGCAGCTGTTCCGGGCAAGAAGCAGATTGATTGGGCTGTGCTGCAGAATCACAAAGGACTTGATGTGTTTTCCTAGGGACTGATGTGAGCAGGGCTTGGGCCAATGGCTAGGATTCTAACAGTCATGGGAAAGAGTGGGAATTGGGTATGGAAAAGTGCCATTGATCTGAGGAATAGACCATGGCTGGGCTGGAGGCTCTCTCCTGAGAAATGCCTGCATTACACTTTTATCTGATCACACCACTTGGATGTGTCTCTTGGACACATCTTGATAAGCATAAAACTAGAAGATTAAATAAAAGTTGTTCTGAAAGTATTGCTTTTTTCTTTGGGGGCATATGGAAAACACCTCGTGCTCTCTATTTGTCCTGTAACCTGATGTTCTTTCAAAGTAGTTCTCTTTGACAAAAAGATAGCATTCTCATGAAAATAAACTGCAGATGTAGTAATAGTAGCAGTAACAGTCATAAAAAATGACATCAGCAGGACATGTGAGGCAGATGGGCTCCTTCAGGATAGAGAAAAACAAACTCCACCAAAAAAAACCCCACAAACAAAATAAACAAATAAAACCCCACAAAAATAAAAAAACCCCACAAACAGAAAAAAAAAAGCAACAAGAAAACTGAAAACAAACACCCACAAAAACCAAACCAAACCAAACCAAAAAAAAAGCCCAATAAAAAATCCCCAACCAAAAAGACAATACTCCAAAGCCAGTCCATTTCCCCCAGAGTGCTCTCTCACTGCCTCGGAGCACAGCACTTCCTCTGGGGAGTCCTAAATGGCCCTGTGACACCAAACTCAGGAGGAGCATTTGGTACAGCTCTGCTGACACCTGCACACAACACACTGTCCCTCAGACAAGAAACCCCCAGACGTACCCAGCATCTCCAGGTACTTCTCCTCAGTCTCCTGGTTTGCAGCAGCCATGCTGCTCTCAGCACTGGAGATGAACAAACTGCCCGAGATCAAGATCCCAGGTTTGACAATAGAGGTTCCTCGAGGTGATGCTGCTGCAGCAGCAGCTTTAGTGCCAGAGCCCGTGTAGATGTGCTCAACCTGGAGCACTTCTGGTGGGCACTGTTCCTGTGCCTCATGCCGACCTTGGGGCTCTTCATTGCCAGACATTCGCTGGAAGTCTTCGCAGGCTGCCCGGTGAGATGTCAACACTTGCACCTCAAGTCAAACACAACAAAGCAGTCAGAGACTCCAGCTTGTCCCTGTCAGCCAGGAATCATCGACTGTGAGAAAAGGGAAAGATTGACAGAGGATACAGACAGCTTGTTCCAATCCTCCATCTGGGTCACCACATTCCGCTGCAAAAACACCTCAAGAAACAAGGAGAGCAGGAACAGGCCAGCAGGAATCAATTTGGATGACTGCTGGCCAAAAGGCCAAGGGACGAGTTTCACTGTCAAGGGCAGCAGTGGAGATTCAGCACACCAGGAAATGTCCTTCAGAGTGACTGTGATACACACTACGGCAGGACGGCACTCAGAGGCATGGCCCCACTCCCTGCTGCTCTGAGTGGAAAGGCAAGAAGGGCAGAAACCACCCGCTTGGTGACTGCAGTGACTGCATCCCTCTTTCACTCACTTGCTTTTGCAGAGCCTGAGGGAGGGGATTAGCTTTCTCTCTGATGATTTTCATGTCTTCCTCAAGCCTCTTCTCCAATGCCCTGATCCTAGCGTCAGTTTTCTGCAGCTCTGCCTGCAGGTATTCCTTGATGTTCTGTAAACAAGGAGGGAGAGGACGCCTTATGACTGGAGTGGCTGCCACTCTTTCACTCACCTGGTTTTGTTGATCGCCCCTCTGCTGATTGAGATTCTCCTCTTGAATGCTTCTCATGTCTTCCTTGTTCCTCCTCTTCACTGCCACGATGTCACTCTGAGCTTCGGGCAGCTCTGCTTGTGGCTCTGCCTTCATCTTCTGTACACACAAATGCAGAGCAAGTGACTGGGAGCTGCCATCAGGCTCAGCTTTTTCCTCTTGCAGCCTTAAAATCACATCTATTCAGCCCCTTCTTTCTGCTTTCCTCCCCACATCTGCTTCCACTGTAAGCCTCCTGTCCCAGTGCTGATCTCTGCAGATTCCAAGGCTCTGTGCTTCCAGTGTCTGTGGGACTCCTGGCCTCCTCAGTCCCAAGAGCTCTGGTTTATGCCCCTCTCCCTGCCCTTCCCTCTGTCCCCTGGCCAGTCAGGCTTACCTGGCCATTCTCCTGTGGCTCTTCCACCTGCTGCCTGAGCTGCTCTTCCTGCTCTCGGCCTGGGAACAGCTCTCCCTGAGTCTGCCATGGCATCTCTGTTGAAGCAATCTGCTCCTGCTCTTTCTCTAGAAGGACCTGCACAGAAAGCAAGAGAAGATGGGTTTCAACTTCCCACGCGACCTTTGTGGGCCAAGACTCAAAGACTGCTGGGCTCACATGTTCCCAAAGCACTGTGCTGCTGCTCTGCTGGGTCATTCTCTGTTTGAGGAGAGGCACAGATTCCAAAGTGACCCTGGCCCTACAATCAGGGTCCATCTGGGACTGAAGCTCCAACAGCCTCTCAGGCAGCTGACAGGGAAGGTGTGGCATTTCTCAAGGGTCTGCTGAGGGCCTCCCTCTGCTTCTGCCATGTCCTGTTTGTCTTTCAGTAGTGACTGACACCCCACCCTGTCCCACAGCTCCATCCTGGCTCTGCAGCTGGCTTCCTGGGTGAGCTCAGCCCTTGTGAGAGACACTTCTGCAGTTCAAGTTCATTTCAGGCCTGCACCAGCATTCCTGCATACCTGACATCTATACTCTTGTAAGAAATCCTGGTCATTCAGGAGATAAGAATGTGTGCAAAGATCCTCTGATAGATGTCAGAGAAACTCTATGGCCACCTCAGTATATGGAGGAGAACCAAGGTGTTTCTTCTCCCTCTTTTGTCAACTGAGAATTCTAACCAGCATTTTGACCCACGCAGCTCTCCCGCCACAAAGGTGCCCATGTCACTTCAGATACAGCAGGCACCATTGCAAGATGGCCTTCCTCTTCTGAGCAACACAAGACAGCGGTCAAGGACTTGCAGCTTCACCCCCACTGCAGGCTCCAAGGCATTTGCCAAAGCTGCAGACTGCAGCACAATATGCATCAACAGAAACTGGCTGCTTCTGCTTTTGGCCTCACAAGAAAGCTTCGCGACTCCGCACTTTGTTTCTTTGGCCACGCGGGACAAGAATGGCCCCCCCACAGCTGCATGGACCACACAATCCTCCCCTTGCAGCTTATCAAAAGCCAAAAGACAGCTGGCCCAAAAGAGACTGTACAAGTGAAGAACTACTCATGGAAAGTGCTGACCGCTTTCCCAAGCCAAGCACACCATTCCAGAGAGGGAAAACAAACAAACCAAGGCCTGGCACCTCCAGCACTCCCTCCTTTGCCCTTGGCCATAGCACTGCAGAAGCCAAGAGATAGAGTTTCCTAGAGCCAAGCAGCCAGATGCTCTCCCAGAGGCACCAGCCCTTTGCTGCCTCAACATGACAGCTCAAAGGCCAAGTTCTGCAGTCGCTAGCGGGAGGAAATCCCCAGCTCCTGGCAGGACTCTGGCACCCAGCATCCTCAGCCAGCAACAGCAAAGTGCTGGCTGCTCCAAACCTTGCAGCTCTGCCTTGCACTAAAGACAGCACCACAACCAACTGGCACTTACAGCTCCAGAATATCCAGGCTCTGGTGTGACCACTGATGGAGGCTGGTGGTCATCCACCTCAGTTTGCTCCTCTTTGGCTTCTTGTCCAGGAGCAGCGGGGGCCAGGGGAGAGATGGCTTTTGCTTCTGTCATCTGTGGCAAGAGAGAAGCATGAGGGACAGGCTGTTACCTATCATTTAGAACCTCATGTCTTTTCAGATCTACCACCACATCTTCTAAGGAGAAATCATACATTTTTTTGGTAATGGGATTCTAAGTCACACCAGCCTCACCAACCAAATTCAAATGGGCTAATTCAATGGAATTCTATGTAGCTATGAATTCAATATTCCTCCCTGGCTGCTATCAGCAAGCAAGGTTGTCTTGGCAAAAGGGAGCTTTTAGTTCTTGAAAGCACTGAAATGGAAAACTAGGAAAGCGACAGCAACGCCTTTGCTACTGCTGCTGCAGACGTGGAAAACTCAGGCTGCCTGAGTTTTGATGAAATCAGAATGCCATCCAGGGCTGCAAAAGGGCTGGAAACATTGTACAGAAGCATCTTTACTTGCTGGAAAAACAGGAAAATGAACAGGCCTTCTCTTCCTAACAAAACTACGAGCCAACAAACCACAAGATGGAAGTGTCACCCGCTGCAGTGTCTCAAGCCCTTGGATGCAGTGAGGGGATGTTTGGCAGAGAAACAGACCTTGTGCTGAGCACTGTCACGCAGGGATGGATGGACGTCTGCCTGAAGGTCCCTCAAGAGCCTCCCATTGCCCAGGCTAAAGCTCCCTCAGCACCTCCTCACTGGCCTTGTGCTACACCCCCTTGCCCAGCTCCCCTGTCCTTCTGTGCACGCGCTGCAGCCCCTCAAGGACTTTCTGCTGCCCAGGGGCCCACAAGTGCACCCAGCACTGCAGCTGTGGCCCCAGCGCTGCCCAGCACAGGGCCACGCTCACTGCCCTGCTCCTGCTGCCCCACTGCTGCTGACACAGGCCACCAGGCCCTTGGCCTTCTTGGCCACCTGGCCACACGCTGCCTCATCTTCAGCTGATCAAGGCCAGCAGCAACCCTGGCTCCTTTTGGCCCACGCAGCTCCCCAGCCACAAAGGTGCCCATTTCACTTCAGATACAGCAGGCACCATTGCAAGATGGCTTTCCTGTTCTATAATGACATCTTCCTAGCTCTACATTCTATTGCTACTGGCCAAGCTCTCAGCTTGCACTACAATTCTTAATCACCAGGAACATGAAATGTTCCTTTCTCACTCACCTCAGGATCAGCACCTCTGAATACACGCCTCAGGTGACCTGTAGTGGGCAGGGGAAATGAACCAGATGCTGTCAGAAAACTGCCTGGGCTGCTGAATCCCACAGAACAAGTCAACCCAAACATAGTTGATTTCCCATTTCATAACATCCCTCCCCGAGACACATTTCATTCACACAGCCAGCAAGAGACCACTTCAATATTCTTGGTTGTGCCTACACTTTGGCCTGTTGAGCCAGTAAATGGCTACAAACATGACCAAGAGAATGCAAATTGTTCTTTAACACTCAATGCTCCTCTTCTAGAAAACATATAAAACTGCTTTTTAAATCCTCTTCTTCGGGTCTTTTTTTTTAATCAGTTGCATGCACTAATTCTCATTTACTTGCTGGAAACAGTTGCCCAGAAAAGCTTCCCCAAAATTCCCCTGAGCTGTGGTAGATGCTCACTGCTTTGGCGGTTGTACTTCCTTGCAAAGGGAATCACTATTTAAGCACTTGGTAAAAGGTCAAGTTAGACAGTCAAATCCCTTCATGACAAAATTTAGAAAGAAAGAAGCTTTCCCTGAATTCTGGGAACAACTGCAGAGTTTTTAGAAGGCCTTCAAGAAGGTCTCCCAGTCTACATTTTCAAAGGTGTCTTGCTATCCCAGTAAACTGAGGAAATGACAGACTCTGCTGCCACAGACTCTCCCATGGAGGGAACAGAAGCCCTGCAGGTTGCCTTGCAAATGCTGCCCCTGTGGCTACAGACACCCTCTTTTTAGCTGAACACCTTGACAGGAGCTTGACCAAAGCAGTGGCATCCTAATGCTCTTTCTGTTTCAAAATCAGAAACCCAGACACTAAGAAAGAGCAGGAAGATGTACAAAAGCCAGGTTAGGTTACATCCTAACCTAAGCAGAAGAGGAAACATCTACTTACGTGCAAAGTGTGTGAGGAAATAGGCACCATACGTAACGCCATATGCGGCGAAAAGGACAGGTGCCAGTCGCTCAATCATTGTGATACTGCACTGCAAGTCTGCAGGCTGCGCGAACCCAGTAGAAAAAACGAGGCTCCTGTCAGTGTGCAAAAGCCCACTAACAAAAGCCTTGCCCAGGAGGATTCTCCTGAACTGAGCAAGCGCTAGGGCTGCTCTGACACTCAGGCCTTCCGTGCACCAAGGCACCCTTCTGATGTCACCATGACAATGTGGCAACCATGCCCTGACATCACAAAGCAAACGCTCCATGTTGCTCTGTGAGATTTTGCCAAGTACTAACCAGCCTTCCCTACAGCAAACACAAAAGAGCCTGGGAAGTTCTCCTCTGTCACAAAATAGCACAAATTCCCCTTGTGGGCCAAAGCCTGTCATTCAAGGGATCCAAGAGGAACTCCAAGAGTGCCCCAAGCACCTACAGCCTGTACCCCAACTGAGCTCTCAAATGGGACCCAAGCAAAGGAAATCACACCAAGAAAATGGCTCAAAGCATTGCCCATCTGAGAAACAACCCTTCTTTTAACTTTTTAAAGGTTTATTAAACCTTAACAAAGGACTGAATAAGGAAAGATTGCAGCACTGGGAGTCTCCATGATTAGCAGCCACATGCTCATCTACAAAAGGGATGCTCTGCTTTCTATACCCTTAGCCCCTCCCAATGTTTTGTCAGTCAACTCTTTCTCTGCTGTCCATTGGTGGAGATTACTTTCTTGCACCTTGATTGGAGGTCAGGGGCTGTTCCACCCCTCCTGCTGGTCACAAGCCAGCCCTCCCCAAATGTCCTGACTACCAAGGCAATTACAAGGGGGATAAGAAAGAGGACTATGGGAGGACATATTACAATAACAGAACTTTCCATTTGAACATAATATCTGTCCACATAATAGCTATCTCCTAATTGTGAGAGCCAACTATTACATTACTCACCTATAATGCACAGAACCAGGAGAGAAGGCACTGTTGGCATAACAGCTGAAATCATTCCTAACATATCCCCCCACATGTTTGCACATTTATTGGACATGGCCAGGACTCCTGTGGATGTACATCTCTGCCTTTCTTCCCCTTTGGAAGCAGTCAACCTGGCAACTCGTGGGGAAACCAAGGCATTTGTGGGGGCTGCATTTCTCTGCACACACCCAGGCAACGTGTGGCACAGAACTTTGGTGCCTAAAAAGATCAACCAGAGGAAAACAGCTGGAAAAGCTTTCATTTTGACCTTTCTTACCTGCTAACAGAAGTTGCCAAAATGAAAGTTTCCAAGCAGGGCCTGATCCCTGCTGCCAACTGAGGGTTAGAAAGGAGGCATCACTTTATTTCAGTGCTGGGTGCATAGGGAATCACTTCCCTAAGGCCTGCACAGCCAGCAATCTCACCTACCAGTTTGTATGCATGGAACTAAGACATGTTCAATACTTTGCTGAAACTCCCAAGCTAAACATTACCCCAGATTTATTGACATATTTCAATCACTTCTCAGAATTTATTGGCATCAGGGTAGGAGTGTCCTGTAGGTCCCTGGTGATCACTGCCACAGGTTCAGGAGGAGACCCGTGCACAAAAGAACCTAAGACGCAACTGGGCTTGCAAAGCAAATTTATTCCATTAATTGCAGTAGCAAATAATACATACCAACCCCTGGATTCCCAAAAAATCCACTGAGCAGAAGAAGGAGCTAGGGAGCGTGGTGCTCGGCACCAGGGAAGGTAGGCAGTGCACTTCCAGGACATGCCCTGGATCAAAACAGTGTGCATCTCATCCTTCTCACCCTTCCAGCTCAGAACCAGGCCTTGTATCTCCTGCTCAGGAGTGCCATTTTCCCAGTTACAGCATCAGCTCACACATGGCTGACTGTGAGATGATGGCTCGGGATGACTCCATGACTCCCTGCCACCAAGGGCTCCATTATGCACTGTTCCCCTTTCAAAGCTTGACTGCTCACTGATTGACCAATAGATTGTTTCTCTTTCAAGGGTCACCTGTTATACAAGACACTTTTCTTCATTGTCTTGTCAACCTGCTCAAACATGGATCAAATATGGCAGGGCCTGGGACACGTGTTGCCTTCTTGTGAAGGCCACGGCGACCTGGTTTCAGGGGTCCAGCACTTCGATCTCTTTTGTGGGATCTCTTGTGGCCAATAACGGATGCTGACACTAATGTGGTGGACGGTTAAAGGCGTTTATTGAGGGGTCTTAAGGGTATTTATGGACTAAGGGGTCTCTCTACGTCAGACGGGGGTTTGGCTATACTTTCTAGGGTTAGTATGGAGTGGAAAGTTACTGGCATGCATAGGTTAGGGGGGCTACACGTCTGGCTACATTCCAAGGGTGATCCTTATCTATGGGGAGGGGGGTAGAAGGATTCCTGTAACTTTCCGTTACAGCCCGAAATCTTCCGAGCGCCTGTCCCTGGCCTACTACACTTCCCCCCCCTCTTTCACAAATGAACGAGGTAGTCTTATACATCGGCATTAAAATGAGGTAGGAGGTTGAGATCTGACTAGGGAAAAGGGTCTTGGGAAACTTGAGTGAGTTTCTGCCAGGCAAGTCTTTTGTGACTGGCAGCGTCTCTTGTTGAATTCACAGGAATTGTGGCTGTCTCAGGAACAGGATGTTAGCCCGTTCTAGGCGGGCCTGAACGAATGAGACTAGCTTGTTCAGCAGACATGGCCTGAAGGTAATAGCTAAAAGCAGTATTGCCAATGGACTTATTAGGGTAGAAATCAGGGTGGTTAGCCATGGTGATTGGTTGAACTAGGATTCGAACTAGTTCTGTTGGGCTTCTCTGTCTTTCTGTCTCTGAGCTAGTCTGTTTCGGAGTTCTGCCATGGAGTCTCTAACGACTCTTGTGTGGTCAGCATAGAAACAGCATTCTTCTTTCAAGGCAGCACACAGGCCTCTTTGCTGCATGAACAGGAGATCTAGTCTTCGCCTGTTCTGCAGGACTACTTCTGAGAGTGAAGAGACTGACTTTTCTAGGAAGGAAATGGATTTCTCGATCTTCTGCAGGTCTTCATCGATGGTCATCTGCAGCTGGGACAGTCTTTGGTGTTGAGTTGCTAGGGCTGAGACACCTGTTGCTGTTCTAGCCGCTCTTAGGCCGAGCAGCATTGCGATAGTTATACTTGTTAATATTTCTCTCTTGTGGAGCCGGTTGTTATTTTCGGAAAGGTGACACACTTCTTCGTCTGAGTGGTACAGGATCTTAGGGATGATCAGAACTTGAACACAAAAGTCGTTAGAGTTATTGAATTTGGCAAGAGACACACAGGGACTTACTCTAGATCTCTGGCAAACTCACATCTCAGATGCGGATGGGACTACCCACTTATTATTTTTCTTGTCGGGCTCAACTACTTCGGTGCAGACGTCGCTTTTCTGCTTAGCTAGGGTTGCATTGCCGAAGCATCTGCTCTGACCTGTGACTTGACTCAGGGTAATTCTTTTGCGGGGTGTGTCTCATCTGCACTGGCGAGGGGCATCGGCTGTGGAATAGCTGAAAGGGGTATCTAAAGCGACTCCTTTGTAAAAGGGGGGTTTAACATCGTAGCAAAGCCAGCAGGAATCGGTTAGGTTAGGGTTAGATTCATTCAGGGATAAAAAGGTAGCTTCTAACATGCGAAGGATTGGGTTCGAGCCTGAGCTGGCTGATTGGCCTATCTGGAAGGCTTCTTCATCGCCAGTCAGGACGTCGGTGACTCTTGTGGGTAAGGGTTTGGGGTAGGTCATATTTTTTCTTTTCTGTGTGCTTTTGATCACTTTGTTGGGCCCAACTGCTCTGGGTGCTGACGGTGGGAATCTGGTAATTCGCACATTTACCCACTTTTCTGACCCTTGAAGGACTACTGTCTATGCTTTGCCCACGGCCCAGCTAGGGTGATTCGGCTGTAAAACTGTCATGTTATAGTGAGTGCATTTCTGGAATTTGGGAACTTTATGTTGGTTTCGATAGAAACTTCCCTGAAGGAAGACGGGTGTTTTGCAGCCTGCAGGTGCCCAGGTGAACTGTAGGAATCTGTCGGGCTCTTGTGGGTCCCACCCAGGTCTTGATGGCCTGGCGTCTGTAACTATTGTTTCGCAGCCCCAGTGTCCACAGTATCCCCACCCTGGGCGATTGCAATAACTTTTTCTTGGGTTTGAGGCTGGGCACCAGTAAGATAGGTACATGTGCGTGGCGTGTGAAGAGTGGGGGTCTACCTTTGGTTGTTCTGGAAACAGGTCGGTGATGTGGAGCACGAAGGATGGTGCGTTCGGCGTGGTGATGACTCTGAGCACCTTGTCACCAGCAACATGTTGCATGACCCACCTGAAGGGCTGATGAGGGTAGTAGTCTGGGCTGGCTTGTCCTCCAGCGACAAGCCCCAATAGCATAATCATGCAGAAACACCGCGTTTGTTTGGGTCTCACCCGTGTGGGTCTCTCAGGTGCTGTCCGGTGGCTCGGTGGACTGTCACTTTCCTCTGGGAGGGGAACGTATGCATCCCGGGGACGGCCAATAAGCATGTCCTGTAAATAGAAACTCACAGTTCTCATCAGTCTTGCCCTGCTTACTATGAAGGTCAGGCTTGATTGACTTAAGTGGACACTACCTAATTTCGCCGTCCTTTTTGACAGCTGCGTACTCTCGTCTCGTGAGCATCAACTTCCAGCCCTGTTTTCATTCACCTAGTTCATTTCTAATTGCAACCTGTGGGCCTTCTTCTAGCGCTCTGGTGGCCCAGTGTTTCTGGACAGGGCTGTTTGTTTCATCTTTCTTGGGAAACTGATTCAGTGCTATCAAAGCGGTTGCTAGCATGCGTGCCTGTTCTCCCGGGGGAATAGAATTGGCAAAACTTTCTGCTTTTGCCAACACTTCTAGCCTGGTTTTCAGGGTCTGATTTGCTCGCTCTACTATGGCCTGCTCGGTACTGTTATAGGGGATACCCTGTACTAGTGTGATGCCCCATTTCGAGGCGAATTCTTGCACTGGTTTGGAGGTGAAATTGGAGTCGTTATCAGTTTTTATCTGCTTGGGGGTGCCAAGCCACGCCATGACGGTCAGCTAGTGCTGAATTGTGGCTTTAGAGTTAGTTTTGGGGTGCTGTGTGGCCACGATTATCTTGCTGAAAGTGTCTACCGTCACGGCAAGCCACGCTCGGGGCTTCAGCAGTTGACACAAGGTGAAGTCTGACTGCTAGATTTGTGAGGGCTTGAGACTTCTCGGGTTGATCCCACTGGTCCACAGGGGTGACTTCTGGCAGTGAGGACAGGTAGCTACTACATGCTTTGCGTCTGTTGTTGAAATCCTGCATCTCTTCGCCAGGGCCTTGGCCCCGATGTGGAGTGATTCGTGCAGCTGACGAGCTTCTTGCAACGTCCATACGCCTTTTGCTGCGGCGTCTGCCTTGTCGTTACTTGTCTGGAAGTAACTTTTGATTGGGTCGTGGCTGTTGGCGTGAATGATGGATACGGTGCCCTGTCGTGAAGAGAGTGCTTCTTCTAGCATTAGGGCTGCTGTAGATGTTGACACACCTGGTCTTGTTATGGCTAGGCAAAGCCTTGCCACGAATATAGAGTCTGTTACTATATTGAGGTGCTCATCTTTGAAAAGTCCGCACGCCAAGACTACTGCTGTTGCTTCTAGTTGCTGCACTGACAGTGTGGGGTCACATGCTTTGATGCAATGCCATTGCTCTCTTGCCTGCTACACTGCCGTTGCCGTAGAAGTCGTGGAGGAAGCGTCTGTGAAGACCGTTGGTCTTGGCTGCGGTCGGTCTTTGACCTTTGGCGGTATGTCTATGTCGACGATGGTCAGCAGCTGAGTTCAGGGCGGTTTTGTTGAGTAGGAGATTTCTCTTCTGAAGCCGGTGAGAGCAAGGGCTAGGTGCTCTGAAATTGCGGGTGACTCCGCAGACGGTTGCTTGCGAAAGGGAAGATGTATTCTTGTCGGCTCAGTTCTTAGGTGTCTCAGGGCGAGTTTCTTGCTTTTCTTGATGAGGTTAGCGATGCATTCGACTCCTGGGGAGAATGCACGGGCAGGTCTCTCGAGGACCACCTATTGAATTGGCCGGGCCTTTTCAGAAGGCCCTTGTGCCAGTGCCCTCACTCTGCCCTTTGGCGTGAAGTGTATGTATAAGTCTAGGGGCAAGGCCGGGTTCTACTTGGCTAGTGTGCCAGTGGACATTTGCTGATCAATGAAATCGAGGGAGCTCGCCGTTTGTGGTGTCAGCTCTTTGGGTTCTCAGGGGTGTTGTCTCTTCAGGAGGTCATATAAGGGATCTATGACTTCGGGGGGGATCAGGACGACATTGCGGACTCACTGCAGCGATCTCACCAGGCATTGCACATCGTGAAGTGTCTTGATGTCCCGGTTGATCTTTACTTTGGGAGGAGTCACGTAGGAGCTTGTGATCTTCACTCTCAGGAAGGTCACGCAGGGTCTTCTCTTGACTTTTGCACTTGCGATCTCGAAGCCGTTGGCTCGGAGGGTTTCTGTGATCGCAGACACCAGGTGGTCTACCTGGCTCGTCGATGGTGCAGCGACCAGGATGTCGTCCATGTATTGGATGATGGTTGCGGCAGGGTAGGAATGTCGGACTGGCATCAGTGCTCTGTCCACGGTGATCTGGCAGATAACCGGACTGTCCACTAGGCCCTGGGGAAGTACCCTCCATTGGAAACGGAGGTTAGGCCGATTACTGTTTGGAAACGCGACAGAAAAGGCAAAGCGTTCTCTGTCGTCTGGATGCAGGGGTATCGAGAAGAAACAGTCTTTGATGTCCAGTACTGCGCATGGCTGTCTTTCAGGGATGGCTGAATTCATGGGTAGCAGTGTCTGGACCGGACTCATGGGTCGAATCGTCTTGTTCACTTCTCTCAGGTCGTGGACGAGACGATAACCCTCTCCGGACCTTTTGGGGATTACAAACACAGGGGTGTTCCATGGACTGGTGGAGGGTTCTATGTGACCTTTTTGCAGTTCACGGTTGACCAGTTCCAGCAAAGCTGCCACTCGAGGCTCTGACAAAGGCCACTGCTCTCTCTAAACAGGATCTGATGATTTCTAAGTCAATTTGATCGGCAGCTGAGGGTGTACAGCAGTGGCCTCTATGATAAATTTGTAATCTTGACTCCTAGCATAGCAAGGATATCTCTTCTTATTAGTGGCGGAGAGTTTTGCAAAATGTAGGGGTAAATTGCTACTGTCTGTTCTGGTCCCTTGTTTGTGTGGAGTGTGATAGCTACTAGCTGGGTGCTTTTCTACGCCCGGGTTTGTCCCCCCACCCCGTTCACTGGGGGGACTTCTTTAAACCGCCAATGTCTGGGCTAATGTCGCTGAGGGAGAATCGTGCAGTCTGATCCTGTGTCTACCCAAAACTGAAGTCTTACAATGTGGGGGTCTTGGCTGCCATAGAGGCGGCATGTCCCCCACACTCTCGGGGGTTCTTTCCCTATTCTCATGGCCAGGGTCACCCAGGGGTCCCGGTTTGGGGCGTCCCTTGCTGGCCCTGTTGCGCTTGCGTGGCTTGTGATGATGGGGGGTGCGAGGGTGCAGTCGGTGGTACTGTATAGCTCTGCCATTGTATTGCTGGTGAGGGTGCAATACTGACCGTCTCCTGTGGGAGCATAGGGTATGAGGATCTTCTGCCCCACTGTGGGTTGACATAGATGGGCCGTCTCGCATCTAGAGCGGGAGGGGGCTGAATATGGCCCGCACGCCCCCCCCCTTTCCCGTTTCTCCGGGGCCGGGATTTACAGTCTCTAGCGAGGTGACCTCTCTTCCCACAGTTCCAGCAGATCCCTCTGGGGCGCTGTTGGGGCGAGGGTGTTGCCTGGGGACGCTGTGCCGGCTGGGGGCAGTTAGCCGCAACATGACTTGACTGACTACATTTGAAGCAGGCCATCACACTGGTTAGGGTGTGCACGGTTGCCTGAAGTGGGGCTAACTGCTCTTCCCTCACAACATGCTTAATCATGTCAGCCAGGCTGGCCCCGGCTGGTAGGGAACGCAATATATCTTTGGTTACGGTGTTACATTGTTGCCGAAGGCAGTCAGTTACCACCGGGCCTTTTGCGACAGCGGGTAGATTAGAAGAGTCTACGGCAGCCTGAAGGCGGTCAACAAATTGTGTAAAGCTTTCACTCTCCCCCTGTTTGATGGTCGACCATGGTGTCGGTCTGGCCACTACCCTGGATGCGGCACGTATAGCTTCTCGGGCCGCCCGGGAAGTCGCCTTGACTTCCTCGATCCGGAGCTGGGCAGCTTGTTGCTGGGGTGTGGCCACTTCGTCGTGCTTCTCCAACAACTTAGATAAACTCGACCCGTGGAGTGGCTGCCCTTCCCCCGCCGTCTGAGCGAGCATGGTTGCACATTGGTCCGTCCATTCTTGCTTAAATATTATCAAACCCGCCCTATCAAAAAGCATACGGCTTATTTGCACTATATCGAAAGGGAGTAAATCATCATTGCTAAAAAGACTATCCACGAGAGTGGAAACCACTCCTGAGTTAATTCTTTTTTCTGAAATGGCTTTTACTATTGTTTGAACGTCTTTGGAATTAACGGGAGTATACGTTCTTTGCTGGTTCTCCTGGGGTCTCGTAATTCTCACCGGAAAGGCATGCACTGATGCTGCAGATGCCCATTCTGCGCATTCGATTTTGATTTTACTCCAGTCGGTGAGTTCGTATTGGGGCTGGTTCTCGGTTGTGTTAAAAGTTTTAATTGGTTTCGTCCGAAACCGCATTGATTCTGTTTTCTCTGCTTCCGAGTCGCTGCTGGACTCGGTGGGCTCCGCAGAGCGATCTGGGGAGCTGTGGCTCCCTTCAGAGTCGGAAGTCGACTGCCAATATACTTCCGGTCTCTGCTGCCGTTTTGTCTGGCTACGGCCCCGCTCCTCCCCTCGGGGGCGGTGCTGATGTTGCTGGCGGTGCCGCCCCCTGGGCTCGCCCTGCCTCCCGCAGGGAGGGATCTCTCTCATATATGGTGGCATCAGTGGGCGCGGCTCCCGAGCGAGTGCCTGCCCTCTGTTGCACCCCCATGCATGCGCGTCTGCTGGGACCCACGGCTCTCGGCCGGGCATGGGCTCAGCGCTGATTTCCCGCGCATGCGTGTTCGCGGCTGGCCGCGGTTCTGGGTTCTTCCCGCCGTGAGGCGGCGGGCTCCACCCCTCTCCCCGGCCACCTGCGCCATATTCAAACGGGTAGGGCGGCGGATCTTCTCTGTCGCTCGCCCGCGCGCCAGCCCTCTCGATATTTCGGGCTTCTGCCGCCAGCCCCTCCCAAAAGGACCGTGCGAGTCCCTCCGCTTCTTGCGCTAAGTCGGCTAGCGGCGGGGAAGGGTTGGGCGAGGGGTCCGCGGGCACCCCGGGGGGCTCTGGAGGTGGTCTGGGCCCCGGCGGGTCCCCCGAAATGGTCAGGGGGTCCCCCGGGGGCTCCGAGGGCTCTGGGGGCTTTGGGCTGGAGGAGGGATGGGACGCGCCCGGCCCCCCCGTCTCCCCGCTCTCAATCGAGTCGCCGCCAGGGGGGTTTCGCGTTCTCGCCCCCTCCCCCTGCTGTGGCGCGATTAACAAACAGGAGCGCGCAACGTTCTACGTCTCCTGTTCTTCTAATGCTTTGCGTAGGGCGGCTTCTGCCTTCCCCCACGCTTTCAGGCTTTTGCTGCTGCCTGTGGCTTTTGTGTCCTCTGCTAGCGCGACAGTACATTTCTGCCACACCCCGGGGTGTAATATATCTATGGGTCGAGAAATGACCCCAATCTCTAGGAGTCTCGTCAAAGCGAGATTAAAATTCCTGAGTTCACATTTGATTCCCCATTGCATATGTATCAAACTTACGACTTTCGCTATCGCTTCCATACGAATCGCGGGTCTCTGGGGCGTCCCCCTTCTTCGTTATGGCCGTTCCGGCGTTGAGTGCTGTCCCCTGGCCAGGAGTACTCCCGTCGCCCGGACTCGTCGCTTCGTCCCGATCCCGGGTTTCGGCACCACTATGTTGCCTTCTTGTGAAGGCCACGGCGACCTGGTTTCAGGGGTCCAGCACTTCGATCTCCTT